TGTGCACTATTAAGCCCCTGTATGTTTTCTTTTACCACACCTCCTGTTTTCTCCAGCTCTTACTGCATTGCATAGGGTCTACTACAAGACCTGACCCAGTCCGTGTCCATAACAGAGAGGTGTGAAAAGCTGAAATCTGCAAATGAAAAGAGAAGAGATATAAGAGATATTCAGGTCCTTTGAATTGTTTTCATATTGTCCTCCTTCCTTTGATAATTAATATTTTTGTTATTTAGCACAGTTAATTTAATTTCATATTAAAATGAATAATTTAGTATTTGTACCCCACCATGGAATGTATTGTACACTGCACTTGAAAATCAAAGTGAGTCACTTACGTCATCTGCCTAAACAGTTAATGTATTCTTCCCAGGAATTAATACAAATGATGCAACTAGAACAGAGCACACCTTTAGCTGAAGGCAACAGATGCTACAGTTTTTCTAGTTCTTGAGATGACGTGATTGTGGTGCAGTGACAGGGAGCTCTTCCGGCAGTGACTACAGGCTGTGCATCAATACTCCTCATTCTCTGTAAGTCACACCCACCTTAGAGTATATACTGTATAGCATTTAATAAAACGACACTCATACTGTAGCTCTTTCAGAAATTCAAAGGAACTTTCAGTTTCTCTTTATACTGAGATTTTGCAAAAGTCTGTTTTTTGCTTGCTTCATTCACTTGTTCCATGTTTTATTTTCTGACTGACTTTCAACTCGCCCTTCAAGAAAACTGTATTAGCAATACGTGTTCCACCAGTGCAGGTGGATATACTTCATATTTACAATGTAATAATGTGACACATGCAGCATGAACCTACTTTCCAAACAGTAGTCAAAAGATATGAAAGCCAAAGGCAGTGTTTCTGCCTTGTAACTGTAGCTAACTCACAAATTAGTAAGTATGGTTACAAACGAGTGGAGGAAATTCACTCTATCTAGCCTGAAAGTTTTGTTTGAACACCAAGAATTGAATCTCTGCCTATTGGGTGAAACCTTGGAATCTTAACTGGTGAACCATCTGGGAATACATTTAGTATACACTGACAATCTTATGTTCTAGTGAAAATTTAATTGGTTTTCCACAAGTGACCACTGGGTAATGGACACATTGGATATGCCTGGGAGGTAGAAATATGAACTAAAAAAACTAATTTAAAGTATTTTTCTGCAGAATTGTCTGTGTCAATCCAATTCAAGTCTCATTTTTTACTGTGGGTGACCTGACTGAATTTGCGAGGTTCTTATTCATTGTGTGCTGCTTTAAGCGAACCACCCAACCACCAAGTAGTCCTATATTTTTTTGGTGTTCTAGCGGTATGCCACACCCTCTAGTGTTTCTGTCAAAGAGCCTCTATTAAAGAGCCATATTAGAGCCCCAGTTTTCTAAACACCTCAAGAGTAGAGGAATACATCAAATCCTTCAGATCTGCACTTCAACAAATCTTTTAACTGAAAATTGATGTAATACTACATGACCATTACTGCTCAGAAAGCTTTACAGCTTTGTTATCCAGAATGTAAGTGCTGAATATGATCCTTTCATTTAACTGAAGGTTAAGCATAAACCCAGTTTCCCTTGTCTTACGAATAATTTTATTAAGCTTTCCATTAATTTTTAAAGACATTTATTTACAATAAACTTTGCATGTCAATTTTTGTGACACCTGTGATACATGCATTATCGACTAACAAATGTGGAGCAGATGCCTGGACAATGTGTAAATATGGTGTTTGTTACTAGGCTCAATGAACCTATTGCATTCACATTTCTAAGGCATTACTGCAGTTACAGTATTTTCATTATTAATTCTTAATGTCATTAAGAGAACAACAGATAACAAAATGTGGACTGGTAAACATGGCCATTCTTAGTATAAAGCAGGAACACATGTTTATTCCATAGTTTACACTCTTAGGTTCCAACCTATCCTAACCACGAGCTCCCCAATACTTCCATATTTTGTCCAATTGTTGTGATATCTCAAATGGAGTCAGATTCAGCTTGAATCAAACTCAGACACTTTTGCTGACTGTAAACTAAAAATTCAGTACTAAGTGGCTCCTTTTAGTTCTTCTGTGAATTTATAATTTACTTAAATTTATATCCAATGGAACAGCACCATCAAGTACTGGGTCTGTAAATTACAATAGGCTGGCAAGGTCCAGGTTTTGACTTAAACTCATTCTTTTGTTTTATCTCTTTTCCCATTCTTAGCATCAAGATTTGCAAGGCTTTTCAAGCTACAGTATTAATGCAGCCCACCTCAGGGAAACTAGCAATATTTTACTATTAATGTCTGTAACCATTCCCACTGCTTAGGATGACAATCTCGTTTTGATCCCGTTTTGATGACAATCAAATTTTACCTGCACATGATCATGCCTATCTATGGCAAGATATTCATCTTGGCTCAGTTCTTTTTTTATTGCTTTATTGCTGATACTGCTAAAACAGTATATTAAGATGCCAAATCAAGTTTATGCAAGAGACAAAATGTACAAACTTACATTCCATTCTTAACAACTTAAGAATTTAAGATTGAAAAGCCTATAATGTTCTTTGTGATTCAAAGATTTTTGAATGAAAAGTATCCTTTGGGTTGTGTTGGGTATAACATACTGTTTCAATATGATGCAATTCCCAGGAATGTGGTGTGGTCATCTTTGCATGCGCAAGCTTGCAGTTATGTTCAACATAATGGGGTGTGTGACCTTCTGTGCCATCACATCTGTACAGTCTGTAGAGCTGTGCACAGCTGCCCATTGGAATAAATACCAATCTGGGTTCCATTCTGGAAACAGCCTGATTAAGAAAGATCTCGAAAACATCAAACCCATGTGATTGCATAATGTGCGTTGGGTTACTTATTTCCTTCAGATCCATTAAAAATTTGCTGATCCAAATTGAGTACCCACCTCGTAGCCCTTTTATTGCCAATGTAAGGGCTCATAATATTGAATTATAAATCCTGACAATTTAAGCCACAGTTCCTAGGCCAAAATGTATTAAATGCAACAGAATAGTATATCTTCTTATCTTCTTCTGCCTGTATACAGAAAGTATGAATAATAGGGTGAATAAGTTTCACCTAGGGTGGGTGTTGGCAGCCCCTCCTGTCACCTGCTCTAAATGTATTTGAAATTTGAAAAAATCTTACGACACCTATCCACACACCCTTCATGCCATGGGGAGTTTGTCTTTGTATCCAAGGCAGTGCACACTGTCTAAACTTGTCTTTCTCTGTTCTAATCACAGGTTTGCAAACTCACCTGAGCAGTATAACACCTGTGTGAATTCTCAGGACAGTAAGAACATATGATGCAAAATTTATTTTTGCATCATATGTTTATTTTTTCCAAATGCAAAAATAAAAATCAAAGAGCTTTTTTTATCAATTACCCAAGTTCTTGAAGATATTTTGATGATAGTAAAATATGTACATAATTAACATAATTAATTTTTAATTGGTAATGGAAACTTGGTGAGTTACTGACTTGGCAGATCCTTATGTAAAGAGTAGTTTTTTTTTTTTCATTTGAGGTATGTTCTTCCATGCTGCCAGTACATATCCAAAATGACTTTTCCGGAAATGTTTTTATTGTAATTTGGATTTAAAGTTTTTACCCACATATGCAAGTGCTAAATTAAATTCTGTTTAAACCCACAAAATTGACAATAAAACCTGAAATGATGTGACAAATATATTATAAATTACATAGGTCTTGAAATAAATTATAGTTACTATTTGATATATAATTACATATAATTGCATGATTACTTTAATAAGCTTGTGTCTATTTTTTCATGATTAAACAATAATCAGAATATCAGAATTTTAGAATAACAAATACCCAGGAGGGTTTCAGCATTCAGACTTCTTTTGTCCTGCTGTTCTCCAGTGTATAAAATAATACAACACAATACTGCACAGTGGTTAGCACTGTTGCCTTAAAGCACTGGGGCTCTTGGTTCAATTCTGGATGTGGGGTGCTGTTTGCATGGAGTTTATATGTTCTCTCCCTGATCACATGGGTTTCTTCTGGGTGCTCTGGTTTCCATCTCTAGTCTAAAGACATACTGGTAGGTTAATTGGCTGCTGGGAAAGTGTCACGTTGTCTACATCTAGAGGGCGCACCTTCTCTGTCCTCTTCCTAGTTTTCCTGTGTTTTTTTTTGTCCTTCTGGTGTGTCTTTGTGTGGGACTATATATTTCCGGGTCTCCCTTTGCTCTTTGCTCAGCATTGAGGGTTCGGATGTCTTGAGAACCGCCTAGCACCTGGTTGTCTCTTCTGCGGCCTGAGTACGTAGGTTTCTATCCAACATCGTCTGACCCTGTGAGCCGGGGCTAACCACTGTGTTGCCCCTGTTGCCGCTACGCATAGGGTCTCTATTGGTCTCTTTGTCATTCGATGGCATGTCCTTTCCGACACCCATGACAGAAAGCTGGACCTGGGTTGAGTGTGTGCATGTTTGAGTCTCTTTGTTCCCGGTGTTGGACTGGTGTCCCATCCAGGGTGTATCCTGCCTCACTCCTATTGATTGCCAGGATAGGTTCCAGCTACCCTGTGACCCTGTGTTGGATAAAGAAGTTAGAAAATGGATGGAGGAATAATAGATCACTATCATTACTTCTTTTCCACTGCTGGATGAAGACTTCCCTATGGCCCCTCTATTACCAAAGAAGGTGAATAGATTTTGCACGGTGGGGAGAACCTCCTTATTTTCTTCTTGGTGTCTATCCTGGGCCCTGAGGCATACAAGGCTATGGTGTCACCTCTACAGGAATCTGCTTCTTTGAGAATAAGGTATGTTCTAGGTGGGGCAGAGGGCTGTGTCCCCAACACCTTCAATGACTTCAGAGCACTCACAATACCCTGCAGCAGAGCCTGTTTGTCTGCCACAGGTCTGCTGAAACATTTTTTCCATTACTTTTTATGCTGGGAGGAGGAGTCAGTACAGTACTTAAAAACTGACAGGCAGACACCATGAGTTCAGTTATTCACAGAACTTTTCAGAGACACAAGAAAGAGAGAATACAGAAGAAATGGAAGGTGAGTGTGCATGCACATTAATCTGTGTGCTTTTTAAACATTGTTTCTTTGTCATTTTTTTATCCAGGATGTTTTGACTTTTGGACATAGAATTGTACCTGAGTGAGGTTATTATATTTAAAACCAGCATGACATTACAGGTTTTCTTGACAATTGCACTGCATATCAACGTATATTTTATTTTTTCCTTTTACAGTTGCCAACAGATTAGTTTGAGAACCTAGTCCTCCTAGCCCTTTTTATATGCTTACCAGCAACACACATCCGGGCAATATTATTACTGCTCTATAATACCCTGCTTGCAGATGTTGCTGTAGAAACATGTATGGAAGAAAAAAGACATCTGATCATTTTATTTTAGTCTATCGTTGATAACTCTGCTTTGATGCGGCTGGAGTTTGTTTCTTCAGACCTAAACATGCAATCAAAATTCTACTTCTGCCAAAGTAAAGAACTTTAAAAACCCTGACAGTGCAGAATGTTCTATAGTTTCCTATTTTATCAAGACCTTACCTGTCTAAAAAACCTAATATACGAATCTAACAAGTACAAATTCAGATGTAGACACATCTTGCATTAAATGTAACAGATTTGTTTTGAAATACAAATGTTATTATACATACAAATTAAATAATAAAGTCACCACATGTAGTTTAGTTGTAGCATGTTAATACAGCGGATACAACTATTATATTTTAGTAAAGTATATAGTATTAGTTTATCCTTTCATTTCATTATACCTTTGTATGGAATTCTTAAATGGTGATCAGATATGTATTTTCTTTCTTTTCTTTTTTGATGCTGAAAAGAATCTTTTGCATTGAAAAAGAATTTACTGGATTGAAAAACACCTAGCTTGAAGAGTTGCTGTAGTAATGCTTTCCGATGCCTTGATGCTGATGTTGATGAGTTGTTACATTAGTTAAATCACTCAGCTGTGAATTCCTGAACTGCTCTCATCCATCACATCAGGAGAAGTGTTCGGAGTTCTTCACTGAGCTACATCTGCTTTGGAAAAGCCAGGAAAGCCGTCATGCAGGCAGAAGTGTAGTTATCTAAGTGGGGGCACTATAAGTATGGGCAAAGGTTAATATTTATTTGTATTAATAATATTATTCTTTTGTCTGTTGCTTTCATTTCAGGGAATTATAAAGTGTAGCATTTATTACAATGCTGTGCATTTTAAATATACTTTATAATCAAACAAATTTAATAATTAGCAAAGCTAATTGTTTCAAAAGCTTAACAATTACCACAGTCTTCTTAGATGGTTTCCTATGATGATATACAGTAAAGCAACAATTTGTCATAATTACACACATATCTGTGGTTTCCATTGATGCTGACAGCATAAACTATGAATCATTGTGTCTTTGTACACGATGTTACACTTGACATTGTCACTTTGATACGCTTAACACTTAGCAAAGCACAACAGGCTGGAGAACAACCCACTGTGACCACAGGCCAAATGTATGCTTAGACACCTGCCATGACAATTTTTTAGGACCAGTGGACTTGTATGACTTTGATTTCCTCTCCCTCAACATAGCAGTATATGTTATTAAAAGCTGTTATTCAGCCATACTCATGATTTTTTATACAGGAGGAATCAAAAATATTTTCGTATACTTTTAAGGGAATAATGTTAAGATTTAAGGCTTCAGAAAGCAGATTGCAAGGACTCTGTGGCAGGACTGCCTTCATTTGCATTTTTTCTGTAGTGAATGATAATTTCATATTCATGTACATGGAGAGAGATACTACATACAGTACAATGCAATGCATATTCCACCTGTACATGAAATGTTGTAATGCCTGTAATATGTTTTTAGTGATTTTGATCATTTAAGTTTTGTGGCATACTACAATTAATATAGAAATAGTGATGATGGAAAATATGTGACATTTTCAGAACTTCAGACACGGAAATAATGAATGACAGCAGTCTTATTATTTGATATTTTTTTTACTGTTAATTAACTCAAATTAAGCAACTAATAACCTCTTAAATTAATTAAATCTAGTTAACCCCTCACCCTTTTCCTTCAGTGCACCGAGTCATTGTGTGAAAGTATTTGTTATTTCAGGAATGAAGTAAGAAACATTCTCAAAAGCTGGACAGGGTTTACTATACTGGGGAGGTGGATGGACTTCATTTTTGCATGGTGAAACAAAGCAGGAATGCAGAAAGCACAAAAGACATTCATTTCTTTGACTCTCCTGTATGTTTTTAAATATTTCAAATTTTCACGAGAGTCAAGAATTTATGTTACAACCTAAGTTTACATTTTGTTTACAAGAGAAGAGGGGTATCGATCAAGAAAGGAATACCAAACACCTCCTTCAATCACCATGTTTAATAAAAATGTTTTATTGAAACAAAACAGAACCAGTTATATATATATATGTTAAATATATAGTATACTGTGCACATTATTCTTTCCTATATCATATTAAGTCAATGCACCCTTTTCTCTAAACATTCTATTTGCATATTGAAGCACACTATACTAAGTAAAAGAACTACAGACCTTTCACGCAACTACAAATTCTCACTGTGCATCATAATCACACTAAGAAATATCAGGATAGTAATGTCCTTGGAGATTAACATGGACAGGAAATCAGTGAGAGTCTTTCTCCTTGTAC